CAACCACTGTTTATTTGTAGCTTTTCAAAGCACAAATAGAATAAAAACTACAGCCAAATAATAAGAAGGGGTCTCTTCTGTCTTTGGTTGGATTTGCATAACTTCAATTTTTGCTAATGGGAGTTAAGCACCTGTTCTGCAAAGAAAATAGACCCCTATCTGTGAAAATAAATGTGTACGGTATATTTTCCAGATACAATGCTGAAATCAAACAACCAAAAATATGTGCTGTATAAACACAGCATCACGTGGCCTACCTGAAAACATGGCTGTTTTATATTTTACTTCCTGATTCATGGGCCCTGAGATTTTACTAATGTCTTTGACATTTAGATCTAACAAAAAAGAAAAAAAAAAAAAGGTGAGTGGGCGGGAGATGGACAAACCCAATCCGGTCATTTCAGTGAGCTCCTATACAATACTCTGTTTACCCCCTCAGAAGCTCATAATAAATTGCATCAGTAAATCTGGATTCAAGCCACAGTTCTCTGCCATCATCTAAGAAGTCATAGAGGATAATTGTACATAATAGAGAAGAACATGATCATGGGGGCGCTGTGCTGGGACTCCCTGCAGCAGCTGCAGCCTCAGCTGGGACAGGAGGTGAGGCAGACGGTTGTTAGTGACTGGTGACACCAGGGTTCCTCTCTGCAGTGCCCTTCTCGTTGAGTGCCAGGTCTCACAGGAGGGCAAATCTACCTGCAGTTGAATGGAAATGTCTCCATTGGTAGTCACGGGAGTCTCTCCTATCAGGGAGCTCTTGATAATGCGTGGAGAGAGAAAGTCTATCCCACCCCACTTCAACTGATGAAGAAGGCATCACAGAGATCCTCCTTAAAATTATGATGTGATCAAAACAGCGTGGTGTGGGGAGGTCAATTAGAAAATTCCAGTTTGGCTCTGGCTCTATCTTTATGCACCTGATGATGTTTCTAATACAGAATCACTGCCTTTTCTCATGCCCATTTTAAAATAGTTTTAAGAAATATGTACCAAGAAAATCATGCAGCATGTACTGGTACCTCTAGAACCACATTTCTAAAGGTTCTCCTTTCTAATGATCTAGATCAGGACTAACATTTCTCATTTCTGATTGCCCTTGTGATCAGTGTATTAAGAGTAATACTCTTGTGGATAGGACTAGCTACATCATCTGGGGGGGGGGCATGCAAAATGAAAACATGGAGCCCATTGTTGAACATTCTTAGTGATTGCAAGATAATGACAACAGAGCATCAAACCAAGTTCCATGCTCTTCTAAGTACCCAGCCCCATACAATTTCACAGGTCCCAGGCACCAGGCATGTGGAGCTGACTCCACTTGCGGAATCATACCTTGGCATGAGAGAGCTGCTTTCCTTTCTTCCCAGCCTACCACTGATCTCAGTCATGTCAACAATGAGAGAAGGAATGTGGGATGTCTTCCCCCAGGCAGACATTAATACGTTTAATATACTAAGATCCCGAGGAAAACAGATCAACAACGCAGACTCTAAAAACTACCACTTATTTTCTTACATCGATTGTACTATAAGGCTTATCTAAAAGTGTTTCATCTGGTTTCTGGAGGGTTCCACAAAGCAAGGCTTTCAATTCAAAGGCCATCAAGACCTTGGGGAGAAATTCAGTTTTAACGGGGACCAGGAAACTGACTTTGAATACTGATAAACTGACTTTGAATAACAATTTGGTCTTCAATATCATATTTTTTTTTCTCTTCCCCTGTATTTTTTCTTTTGAAATTGCTTCCTACTCAAACCCCKTCCCTCTCATCAGCCAAACACGACCCTTAAATTTGACCTGTAACTCTCAATGGGAAGGCATTCCATCTGGCTTCCCACAGCTGAGGTGATTCGGAAAGTTGGGAAGGCACTGTTTTGAGGGTGCCCTTTTCTTCAAAGTACAGTTGTGCTCCGTCCGTTCTAGGCTGGTGAACGATACAATGGTAATTACAGTAATGGCAGCATTTGCCCATGAAGGGATCTAGCATCTTTCAGAAGTGGGCTTTGGCTAAGCCTTTGCTGCAAGGGACGTCGTCTTTCCCTTTGGTACATGGCACCTCCAGTCGTGGGCTTCAGAGATTTAGAACAGTTCAGAGAGGTGAGAAGAGAAATAGAAATGCCTTTCTTCCCTTTGAAGTAAATAGAAGATACTTTACAAAAGTACTTAGCAAGAAAACTATAGTTAAGACAAAATGATTTTGTTAAGTCTGAGTCTTTCTGAGCTATACATTGCTTTGTGTATGATCAAACAATACAGAAAGAATCGTTCAAGTGTATAAGCCTATCCTGATTTTTGGTCATTCAGAGAAGGGCGAGAGGATTGTAATATTACCTACGCTCAATAAAATCGTATATCCTTGTTTTTTTTCCCCCCTGGTAGTGAATTTGTAGGGATAAACAACCCTACAAATTGTTTGGCCTATTATGTGTCACACAGATTTTTCTATAGCCTGTCTAGACTCCAGACAATAGRCAAGACTGGCCTATAGTTGCAGACATTTCTATAGTCTGTAATATCACTTAGAAAAGCAAGGGCAATAATACAAAAATGAAAACCAGCCTGACCTGCTGGTACGATAGTAGAAATATGAGTATAACAGCACTTTACAATTTAGAAATGATGATAGCACCCTAGAAAGAAGTTTTAGCAGCCACATATCAGCCCAGGCAACTTTTGTAAAATCATATATCCTTCCATAATATGAGTTATATTCAAGAAATTTTGTCCATAAGCTATAAAGACATTTTACTGCAGAGAATTCTGCACATTAGGCTGTTTTCTTATTGCATAGAGGTGGGGTGTGTTTGCATGTATGTATATAAACAAAATGCCTTTTAAAAAATAAGCCAGATTGTTAAACTATTCTGCTTTTTAATCCTTCCGAGGTACAACAAACTGGGATAAAACAATTAATGCTGCAAATAATCTGAAGAGAGTTGAGGGATCTTATGTATATTCAGGGGAGATGGAGAAAAGAGTTTTTAGGTTTCACCTACTTTCTGCCATTTCATCCTCTGAGCATGTCTCCACATTTATTTTTCTCCCACAACTACACTTGTTATAAATGAAGGAAACAAAGAGAAAAATAAATAAATAAAAGAGACAACGGAAAGAAAGAAACTTTTTTTTCTACATTTTCTGCTGTCCCTGTTTTTATATTTTAGGCAATAACTCAAAACTCAATATTTGTTTTATTGCAATTTAGTTTCACTTTGGTGAAGACCATGGAGAGGATGCATTAACTATAAAGAATACTCATTTTGATGAAAATATTGCTCTAACTCTATTGGCAACATTTCTGGCTCAAAGGGCTTTCTCTTCTCCAAAGACTTCAAAGTAAGTCAGTAGTCAACTGACCATTTACATCGTCACCAGTGTGGGCCGATATTAACAGAGTCTTTGTCACTGTGGCATGACTCAGCTTGTGGCTTCAGTAGTAATCAAGGGGGAGGATCTAATGAAATAGAGTAAAACTAAGAGATTCATCCCAGAAGAGAAAACTCCCATTTCTAAGGTTATTCAATTTCTGCCCCAGTTAAATTTCATAAAACCATCTAGATGGTTTCAACATGATCCACTGTGCCATATAGCAGCATACAGTATGTCATCAAAAGTTCCACTACAAACCAGGCGCTGTGGCACACATCTGTAATCCYAGCTGCTTGGGAGGCTGAGACAGGAGAATCGTGAGTTCAAAGCCAGCCTCAGCAACTACGAAGCACTAAGCAACTCAGTGTAGACCCTGTCTCTAAATAAAATATATTAAAAAAAGGGCTGGGGATGTGGCTCAGTTGTCAAGTGCCCCTGAGTTCAATCCCCAGTACCCCTCCACAAAAAAAAAAAAAAAAAAAAGTTCCACTATAGAACAAACAGGCTAAGATTGTCACATTTATAGGTTACTACTTGATGAAACCATAAAGAACCTTTCTCAGTGTGATCAACTAAATGTGTGCACCAGGTATTCACAGAGTACCTTCCAGGCCTATAACATTATGCATACAAATGTGGTGTATTTTCCCTCTGGAATGAAAATGTTAGACTCAAATGATTCCAGAATAGCTTCGCACGACACTCTTGTTTTGCTTGAAAATTYAGTATTTTCTTTGTCTTTAGGGAACAATTTCTTTAATCTCTCAAGAAATGAAAGTATTTGTCAATACTTTCTCACAGAAATAAAAATAAACAGATAAGTATAATTGATTAATGATATAGCCTTAAACRAAGATGGTATTCAAAGTCAAGGAGTTTTTTTTTTTTTTCTGAAATAAAAGGTGTAGTGTTTTGGGTTTAAAAAAATTTTTTTAAATGTTGATGGACCTTTATTTTATTCATTTTTTGATATGCAGTGCCGAGAATCAAATCCAGTTCCTCACATGCTAGGCAAGTACTCTATCATGGAGCCAGAACCCCAGCCCAAAGGTGTAGTTTTTTCTTTTAACATATGTCATGATATTCAGAATATTTTACATAACTATATGATAAGACTTGCCACAGAGGTACATATAGCTTATATAACTTTGAATGCCACAAAAATGGTACCATATCTGATACCTCAACCTTCTTAATTGATTATGCTTTAATTAAAGAAAAATAGAATMCATTTTAATTAAGCATACCAACTAAAACTTGACTTTTCAAAGAAAACATAAAAGTCAAATTTTGATGTTAACATGACCAATTTGGCAAACTTTTTGTTCTCATGAAATTGGTGAGGAGTTCCATGCTTCACAGGAAGCTGGGAATTCTACATCAGTCTAAAAGGAATACAGATCATTATAACTAAAGTGTCCTTTGCATGGAAATGGAGGCCAAATTAGGCCCCAAGGAGGCCTTGCCAAACTCCCACTGAAGTCAGTGGAAATTTGCAAACGCACTCGAGAGGTTTCTTGTAGCCCAGAAGGTCTTGTCAATCATTTCCCCAGATCTTTAAAGTAGACTCACAAGTTAAAAAAAAAAAAAAAATCCCCCCAAACAAAAACCAAACAACAAACATGTACCTCTCCCACGTCGTAGATCCAAATACGGCCTTCTGAGTCCCCAACGGCAACTTCTTTGCCACCTTGAGCCCAACGGACTCGGTTCAGGGCAGATGCCCCTTCAATGGCCACACTTGCTGTTGGAACCTGCCAAAGAGGTAATAACAGAAAAAAGAACCTCTGAATATTAATTTAAATACACGATTTTACAAAATGATACATTTAACTACATGAATCACTACTGGCTTCATGTGCAGGAAGAAACATACATCCCTTGTGCATGGGTGAAAAGAATTCATTGTTCTCAAATAATATGCTCCACTGAATTAAGGGACAAAGAGGAGAGATGCTTTAACAAAAGAGAAAAGGAGGGAGATCTTTTCCATAGTCGATGCATAGTCAGTGACACAAATATTTTTTGAATTACGGCAGGTGTGTATCCCATATACMAATTCAACAACTAAACGTGATACTTCGCCATTGGGCCATGAGCTGTGGTGAAAAGAGAGAGATTTCAGAATTTATCAAGAATAAGGATCCATAAGAGGCCAAAAGGTGGGGGTGTATGGTAGCGTAAAAGTCATGTTCATAAGGATCTTCAGAGAAGAAATAAACATATGTATTGATACTCCAAATCTCATCAGGGAGGGGATAATCAGAAAAAAAAAGAATGAAGGTAGAAAATTTCAAAGACTTAAAATTCTCTCCTCTCTTTCTTTTCTTTCCTTTCCTTCTCCCTGGAAGTACCAAAGTGTGGGAAATGATCCAAAACTTTGTTAATAACTCCAGGGTGATATCCTTTAAAAATATAGGCACCTACTTTGTAGAAAATGACTATGTCTCCTTTAATAAACTCTGGAAATCTGAAAACATTGCTAATAATAATAATAGTCATTATTAAAGAGAAGCCACGCTGCTGAAATGGAACTTTTTTTTTTCTTAACAAGAAACTTAGTGTTTGAAAGGAGGATTTTTAGTGAGTGTATTCCTCTTCTGCAGTCAGTTGTATGAACTCTTGTCTTCAAGGTTGGGAGTCCATAACTGACACAGAGATCAGATCTCCTGAGCCTTCTACAAAGAATGTGGAGTAGGAAAAGACAACACGCCACAAGAAAGAAAACTGTAAATGTTGAACACAAAGAAAAAAACTGTGAAAAGAATGCTACTGAGAGCATCTCCAGCCCCTCTTTGAGACCTGCATCTAATAACCACATTGCACTTTGATGGAAACGTGACATGTACTGTGACTTAGCACCTTCTGCATTCTGTTATTCAGGGAATTGAAACCATCTGTTTATATGAAATTATTGACCCAATACCTGTCTTTAAAATAGCAATAAAAACTCCATCATATGTAAGAATCTATGTTTAAACTTAATCTTGAAATCAATAAAAATTCTTTGACCCGCTTAAATCATTGCATGTCAATTGTGAGCAAAAATGTAAAACAAAAGTCCCTGGCTCATTTATTTTTTAAAAATACACAATTTCTACAATAAAGCTACCTGCTGTGCAGGCTAGAGTCTGAATTTTTAACCAAACCTTGCAAAGGCTGAAACAATGTGAATTTAGATGGACCATAATTCTGTCAATATACTTTATTATTGGTGTGCTGGCCAGAAAACAAATCCGTGATTTTGCTATAGAATTTCAGAGTTAATTTTTAACGCTATAATTTAGAAGGATCATGCAGGTTTCTTATCTAATTCTATTTAGTATCAGATTTTATTTGAATGATCTCAAAAAGAGAGCCAAAATGATAATATGAACATAGAAGAAAATTAATCACTTAAAWGTCACTGACCTTTTGAGAAATTAAAAATAATTCCTAATACATGTTAAGACTTTTGTTAACTTTGAATATAAATAATATAGCAAACTGAAATGGCATTTTAAGCTTTTAAAATATTATTTTCATACATACTGTAAATAGCAAAAAATAGCTATCACAGCCTATGATATGTGCTAAAATAATTTAAATTGCATAAAGGAAGAGACAGAATATATCTGTGTGCATTTAATTGGTAATGACCTTCAAAATTTGATGAATCTATATTGAAAATAATCCATGTATTCACCCTGTCTTACTTCTATACTTTAGTTTTGCAAGTATTTTCATGTGTTTTTATGGCTCAATCGTTTTACTTGCAAAGATAAGACAGGACATAAATTACCAAGCAGCAGAAATTAGTAATTCTGAGGTAGGTAAATATGAACTGTTCTTGCACAGGAGCAGTCTCCAATAACTTGGTCTCAAAGCATAATAATTTGAACAATAACCAATAGACTACTGCACTGGGAATTCAGGTTCAATTATTCTCCCACAAATTTATGTCCTAATTTGATATACATTTGAAAAATCTTGTTCAACAGGATAGAAGGCAAAAATGATTTCAGGGTTTTAAAAAAGCGTTAAGTTCATTACTGGATTTGAGTCAGACTCAATATATCTTTACATTATTGTGAAAGCAGAATTACTTTTACCACAAAACTAAATGATTTGTATGACCAGTAATGATTTTTTTAAATGTTTAATCATAAAACTCTTATGTGCTGTCTCTTGAAACCTACAGAAAGAAAAGGGAAAAAATAATACTTGGTAATGTTCACATATTAATTTCCTTTTTCCTAAAAGACAGATTAAACAAAATAAAAAAGTTATATATATAGGAATTATGAAGGGGTCTGTATCCTGCATTTGGGCACCACCTAAACCTTACCTCAACTAAGCCTGATTTCTGATATAGCGGACTCCTAAGTCAATCTGGAAAGTGTTTGTTTTTTGGTTGCTTTAACTGAGTTTCTTCTACCAAATAGAAGCAATATGATTTTAATCAACAGTGATGAAAGACTGGGAAACCATTACAATGTAAGGTAATAACATCTTTCTATTAAGAGTAATAATGTTATAAACATTTCAACATCCACAATGATGGGCATTTCACATGCTTATGCCTTTTGATTATTTTCAAAGATGTTTCATTACATAATTCTTCCTTGTCACATAGTTCTTTGAGGTAAACGGAAAAATATTTAAACAGAAAGATTTTTAAAAATAAATTTGGCAGAAATTCTGTATGTATGTATATATATATATATATAAAACATATATATAACATATATATATATATAACATATATATATATATAATATATATATATATATATTACTCAATAACAATACCTAAAGGATATTTCCCTGCCCTCTTCCAGAAAAAAAAATGAGGAAGTGTGCTCCTCCTTCATATCCTCCAGCTGTAGCCCTTCCTAATTAAAAAGGCTGAGCTGCTTCCTGCTCAAAACACTTCAAAAGACCTTTCTCTTGTTCTCTACTTGACATATAGTTTGCAGCCCTTGCTGCTCATATCTGCCCATTTGTATTTATGGAGAGCTCCCCAGAATCAGAAGTCAGGAAATGATGCAGAGACCATTTTAGTTTATAAAGTTGAAGGATATTTAATATTATTATAAAAGAAACAACTCCCTCACCCAAATATCTAAGTAGCTGAATTAGCACCTCAATAATGTTGAGAGTTGGAAAAAAGGAACAATGCATATGGCATAAATTTTAATACGAAACTATACAGCGTGCTTTTAAAGCAATACATTTGCACTACCAATTGCTTTTAAAAAAAATAGGCATTTTTCACTTGTGAACTACTCTCAATGTGACATGTTAAAATTCCACTTAAAAAAAAWTCGGAGTTCCTGTTCAAATATGCTAATCTGTTCAAAGTTGAACACCATTGTCAGATGCTGACTCTGAGTTCAACATCTTCGACAAGGCACATTTACCTTAGTGAAAATCAAATGGATGATAGATTTAAACAACAACAACAAAAAATAGTTAACAGTCTTTTTGTGTGTGKGGGGAGGGGTTCAAAATAGAAATTGTACAAATAGCAAAAGCTGAACAAAATAGCCCCCTTGAAGAGCCCAATCTGAAAATCAGCGTCCACAAAACCTAATTTTTCCAAGTGTTTGCCAATAAAGTTATTTTAACATGGGTCTGAAAAATGCCTGTGTATCCTTGACCATCCGGAAAGGCGTAAACACGTATAGTTTTGCTCTTTGCCAAAAAGGGTGGTTAATTGTCCAGGATCTGCCAGAGTTTAGAGACGAAGTGAAATCAAGTGACTTTTGGCCAAGGCATCTGCCAATTCCCTTCAGGGTAGTCAAGAATAAGGGGGCCAGCAACCCTCCTGCAATTGGAGGGTCTGTCCAAAAAAGGCCGATTTAGAAGAAGAGGCAGAGACTGCGAGTGGCCTCCTGCGCACCCCTCCCAGCCCTGGGCCCGGGCGCCTGCGCCGCCGCTCACCTCGGTGTCATTGTTGAGGTTCCAGAGGTCCAAGCGCCCCATCCCGTCCACGCAGGCAAAGAGCGCGGGATGCACGGGGGACCACATGACATCGTACACATAGTCTGCATTGTCTTCAAAGGAGTAGAGCGGCTTGTTGTGCTGTAAAGCAGAGAGACCGTGAAGACTTTGTGGCGCTGCTGCTGCCTCGGGCTGTCTAGGGAGCCTAATTAAAAACTTTGCACATTCACAAAGTGTCATAAAACTTCCCGAGATGAAAGTCCTCGACAAGGTGAACCGGAGCTTTAATGTGACTAGAACTGTCCAGTGGCMTAAATAAATACCGGGGGGCGGAGGGGGGGGCACGCTGAAGGGGCCGGGGGCTGGGACCGGCGGAGGGAGGCGGTTTCAGACACAGTTGTAAGAGACATTCCAGACAGGTGGACGGGGATGCCATTAGCTCGGAATTCTCGCCGGGCCACGCTTGGCGAGTCTTTCGGAGCCTGAACCCGGTGGTGGTCTGGTCGGCCCGGCTCAGACCCGCCGGGCAGCTCCGAAGCCTCGGCGCTCGCGGAGCCCGAGCCCCGTGCATCGAAGGCAACGCCTGCCACCTCGTGGTCGCGGCCTGCAGCTGCACCAGCTCCTGCGGCTTCCAGTCCCACTCCAGGCCAAATTCGTATTTTAACGGTTCTTTGGTGGCGGGGGATGGGGAGAAATATTTTAAAAGGGGCTATATCTCTTCTAGGAGGTGAAAATTTCGCGGTCCCAAGACCTTAGCCTCTCTGGTTGGGAGTAGTTCGCCCAAATCAAGTGGACTGGTGAGGCTTCTTGTAGTACCCCTAAACTTGTCTAGAGAAAATGAGCCATATTTTCTAGATCTGTCTTTCCAAGAACCCTAAAATTGGTGTTCTGAGGAGAAATGCGTTAACATACTCCCACTGCATACAAATGCCTCCACTCCAGAGGGATACAATAAATTAAAATGGCACTCTTGATTTCCAGTGAATATTGTCACATCAAAATAGCACAGAAGTCAGAGGCAAGTTTGAAAGTACACCAGAAATAAAACGTAATTGGACTTTATGAATTATTCATTCCATCTGGCTTGTCTTATTCTAATTTCTGCATAATGGCTTTACTAATCCCTGATCAATTAATGTAAAATGAAATTTAAATGATAATGAAAGCCCCAGAGATAAAAGAAATTAAATATTCTTATATCCTCTGACAGAAATCTAAACAATGGGAGTTTTTTTTTTCCCCCCCCCACTGTCGTCTTCATCCAGTCAGCTGTCTGTACTCTCTTCATGGGTTCTACTGGATGCCTATACAGGCCAGAGTAACAGGATCAGGAGAAGATAACATACAATGTAACAGGATCAGGAGAAAATAACATACAATGTAACAATCAAATCCTTTCTGCATTAGACGTTCAAAGAATGTTACCTGTAGGAAATCAGAGCAAAGTCCCAAAGTGTCCCGTTTGTGAATATAAAGTACACCAGAATTTGTGTACTGAAATTCTGAGAAAAATCAGTGCAAAGATAATAAAAGTTCTTTAACCTAAATATAATGCAAAAACTTACTAAGATAGCAGTTACACATGATTTCGTTTTCCATGATTTATATTGCTTTGACATTGAAAAACCACCACTTTGAAGCAAATAAAATTTCAACATATTGAAGCAACATAGATGTTAGATGAGGTATTGTGTGTGTGTGTGTGTGTGTGTGTGTGTGTGAGAGAGAGAGAGAGAGAGAGAGAGAGAGAGAGAGAGAGAGAGAGGGAGGAGAAGAGTAGGATAGGGAGGGATGTTTTAATTCTAAAAGTGTCTTTTGGGGGGTGTAATTTGAAAAAGAATGCGTGACACTGAAATGTCAAAAAGAATTAACTGGACCCAGGCCTTATAGTTTTGTATTTTATAAATCTTTTATGCAAAATGTTTTATATACCATCTTTGCAATGGGATTCGAAGCCGAAATCATTTGCTTATTGGCTACTGACATAGTTTCTTTCTGCCTCTCACTCTTTGGACGAGGTGATTCTAACTCCTTTTCCCAGAAAATCTGAATATTCAATGATTGCTGAAAATAGTGTGATTGTATCATTTCTCCTTATTTATATATTTTTACAAAGCAGTGTGGAGAATCTGCTTCTTCAGTGATCGTTTGTGATTATTGAATTCTAACTCATAGTAGGAGATTATTGCCACTGCAAATTCTTGATTTTATGGCTAGTCAGCCACTGTTTGTATTTTTCTTAAAGTCAAAGGATGGCAAAGATTTATACACATTTAAAAGAGAATACTCTCTCATTAACCCAGCCAATAGTACATCTGAGGATAGCCAGAAGTTTAGTTTTGGATACACAAATGGACATAAGATAAACATATAACATCTGTCACCTTAATTTTGATCAAATAAAAGATCGTCATCTTTAAACGGTCATTTTCTAAGGAGCTGATATTATCTTGTGGGTTAATTACCTTATTAAATTATCTGTTAATCGCTAGTATTCTTTTGTTTTTCTTTTGGTAGTTTCTTTTCTGAGACATTTAGTCAAAATTATGCTGCATCCTGGAGACTTCATTTTTTATTCTTTTTTTAATTTTTTTTTTTTTGTGGTGCTGGGCAGATTTCACTTTTTAAACATCTGGAAATAACTGCCATTGTTCATGTTGCCAAAACCCAGTTTTCTCATGATAATAGTATTGATTAACATGTTGTTATTATTCTGCTTTTCTCCAACTTCCTTATCACCCTTCACCCCCAAGATGAACCTTCTATTATAAAAGTCACTATGAAAATAATTCTAAACTAAAGTATGTTCCTATTTGGGAGCAGGGAGAAGGGCCTATATTTTCCAAGGCTCTGTTTAGCCTTGATAAATTCACAGACTGGGAATGTCTTAATCAAGATTGATTGAACTCATTATCAGTGTACCAAGTCGATTCACATTGACAAACCACTACTTTTCAAGTCCAGCATATGCATAAACTACAGGCGTAGGCAAAAATTATTTTACAATAGTACTATTTTGAACAGTAATTGTACTTTTTGCACAATTATGAGATTTTATCATCCTGTTTTACTTGTGCTCAAAGGATATTCAGATTGAAAATCTATCTCAAATACTTCATGTAACAAATTTATGGTAAACACATATATCATGAGATTATAATATTTCCATAACAGAACTACAAAGTGTCAGGTCCTAAAGATTGGGTTTGTGAATTTGCAAAACATAAATTTCTCATTCATACTTATTACCATTTTTTAGTACGTGAGTATTATTTTAGAATATTCCAAATTTTGAAAAGGTGGAAAGTATGGGCACAAATCTGACCAATGATTTCAAGGAGAAATCCTATAATATCAGAAGCGTCATGATTTTAAATATTTACTCTACAAAACACTGAAGACCATTTAGTTAACTAAATATTGTTCCACAGCATGTTACTGTAGAAAGCGTTTTTCAAAACAATCAAATTTCACCACACAAAACCCCCTTCACCTGGGAGTTTCCTTTGCTAAGTGAAGTGTCAAAGAAAAAAGGAAAACCTCACCCCTCGCCATGGGTTGCACGTGTGGCACTTGCCAATGAAATAAAGTCACGACACCCTGTGTTTCATTCAAGTCTCCAGGGCTGTGCCAATAATGCTACAGTATCTAGACACAGCCCAGCTTGATTTTAATTCCCTGACTTTCAAACAAAGAGGAGAAGCAGGCTACCAGTCACCTCCCGAACAGGGGCAGGGAAGGGTGTGCGCTGTGTGCCCAACTCTGTGCACACATTGTCTAATTTAATCCGCATAAAATCCCTGTAAGGTAGATGGTATTTACAGAAAAGAAAATTATAGTTCAGGAAAGTTAGTAACTTTCCCAAGGTCACGGAGGTTTTTAAGCGGTGGAGTCAGATTTGGTTCTCAGGTTTTCTCTTGGCTAAGCACGTCTTTTACTCACTGGAACCAAAAGCTCCTTCTACAGGGTCTTCAGTCCTCGCAGAAAAACCAGGAGATCTGTTACCTCTACTCCCCGTTCAACTCAACCAATATTTACTAAGTACACACTATGTAACTCGGAGAAGCAGTTGAAAAAACACTGCAGTCAGAATGTTTATTTCCTGTTATTAATGATCCYGAGGATGTTACCCACACGTTTGCAGGAGTCTGTAGCACCTTGTGAGAGAAACAGAGATCTTTTTCACCTAAAAGCTAGAAATGGGGTGGGAGTGGCCCTTCAGCCTGCAGAGATCAACAGCAGGCAGAGCCTTGGAGAGTAGAAAAAAATGAGCTAGAAGGCAAAGACCTGTCCCCAGTTCACTGAATAGCTGAGTGACTTTGGATGAGGGGCTATGATTTACATTCTCTGGAAGATGAGGTTAACAAAGTCTGTATCAGACAGAAAGGTAATGGGAAACTCTGGAAAAACTAGAGCCCTTGGGAAATTTCACTTAACATCCTTGGATCCTGGCTTTCATATCTGTAAGATGGAAAGCCAGAACTACTAACCCTGTTAGCCTTATGATTCTGTGACTGTTTTATTATGTGCTTTATCACTCGCAGCAAGAATGGAATCAAGTATGTGAAAGCGTTTTTTCCCCCCCTAAATGCCCTTCACAGGCACAGATTATAATGAAATCTATCTTTTCCTTGATGCTTTTTAGAATTCATATTATGATTCCACAAAACATTGTAGTAACTTCAGGGATTTTTAACTTTGTGTTTCATTCAAATAATATAGAAATGCATCAGCATATGGCACATTATAAATAATTTGGAATTATGAACACAATGACAGACCTCCTCCTCTTTGATGGATTGGAGAAGGAATAAGGAATGCTAAATTTACTTTCGGCAGGTAGTGAAATCTGTTTTAAAAATGAAACTTTACACAATCCATTAATGTTTGACAATAAAGACTTGATCTTGAGAACTGAGCTTTGATTTTATAAGTATACTTGTGAAAATGAATAGACCTGCATATTTTCCCAATCAGTTAACTCTAAAATGATTTCTGAAGAGGCGACTCTATTTCTGACGTCGGAAATGTGCCAAAGTCACAGTTAGAGAACGTAATGTTATTTTCCTCTTCTCAGGCACCTCCAGGCATCACTTTGGGACTTAGTGTTTGGGAGGCTGGTGAACAGGAAGATTTATGTT